AAGTCAAACTCAGGTTCCAAATGAATTGTGGCAGACGGTCTTCTTGACGTCACCTAGTAATTTAGTGTTCAGATTGGTGAGTCCAACGACCGTTAGACGATGCATTCCTGAGGTGCGTATTTCTAGATGTTTCATTAAATAGCGCAAGTACACTTAGTAGGAATGGGAACATGAAGCGACTGAGAAAACTGGACATACGTTCTTGTAAAATGTGTTGTGAAAGACGAGGAAAAAGGGATGAGGTTTTCGTAAACATGTAGTTGGATTTCTGGCCTCAGCCGGTGATTCACCGATGACCAAAATTTCTGTAACAACAAACTAGATGTGGATCGAGTCACAAGTGGTTGCCTGTTCTGAGCAAGAATTTTTCAAGAGAGATGAAAGCAAATATCCGCCGTTTCAGTTTGTTGGATTTGGAAGGATACACAATGCTCGGACAAAATGCTGGAGTTCCAAGTCGCTATGGTTATCGGTGTCAGAAAGTTCCATAATCTACAGTGGTACTATGTATTTAGCTAGTGGGCAAACTGATAGTTCATGTATCAAGCGAACATCCAGTTTGTGAGGTGATTGGAGATGTGGCGGTTCGCAATGCAAATCGGCGATTGCGGAATTTTCCCAAAGCAGCCTTGTTTGTGTGGAAATGCTTGACATGCGGACACACGTGCGTCAAGAGTGCTCACTGGTCCGTTTGGTAAATGTAACCTTCTGGAACCCAGGTATGTTTGTTCCATCATTTGCCCGCTTGACGTTGTCACCCTAAGAATAACATTGTTAGGCGCGGGCTAACCGCGAAATCATGAAGCATCTCTTTCAGAGTGTGCCACTGGACAGCTCCTGTAATACTTTCAAGAAGTTACAATAGTGGAGGCGCTTCAATATGCTCGAAATTAAAGCAACCGAAAAGAGGAAGCCGGCATACCAATGATTAACTGGTTCAGTGCCCACCAGTGAGCCATTTCGTTCGCGACAAATGAAGGCTTGTGATAAGTTCGCCCACTGACAACATTCACTCGCGTCACTATCAGCGTGGAGGCCTGTTTCTCCGGAATAAAACGGGCTCCGTGAAATCTGTCCCCGCGCAGTTGTCCAATAGTTTGATCAGATTGCTTGGGGCATTTGATTTGGACACTAATCACTTATATGTGTTTACCTCTGAATCTATCCGCCTGTCTATATACTTGTTTATCTATCTATCTATCTATCTATCTATTCATCTATATATTTATCTATCTGTCACTTCATGTATTTGTAAAACTGAGTATACCATTTCATGCCTGTCGACCAGTTAACACATCGTCTGACCACACATCTAACTGTACACACAACTGTCTCTATAGCTATTCACCACATTCCATAATTGGCCATCTTTTACCCATTTATTTTTTGCGTTCAAATACTTGTCTTTCAACTCGAAAGTTCGTGATTGGTTAACTGGGTTTCAGAAGTCCCTTCCACAATGAAGGGTGATTGTCGATAAATATTCCAATGGCCACGTTTCGCTTTCATTCATAGAATTTTCAAAGTTCGTCTAATATTTGTTGCTTTGATATATCCCGACCGGAGTACAGAGTCCATGGTATTACACTGAACTGTTTGTGGTCCATATTCTCCATGTTCCATTAGGATACTGAATGACCTTGCGCTCAAAGGCGCGGCTTTAACAATGCTGTGCTAATTTGAGCCGTTTTTTGCATTTCAGTTAGTTTGCCTGGCATATTCCACTCGTAGCCGCTCGGTTTTCGACGTGCTTCGAATCTTTGTGTTTGTATTTCATATGGACGGAGTACATAGCCATTTACATATTGGTAGGGAAGTGGTTAGCGACGTCGGGCAACATAGTGTTCACTAGTGGCTCTACGCGAGGTGTTTCCAACTGTGAACGCTTATGGAGTCACAGTGCACACAAATGGATGGGCTTCACAGTTCATAGATTGCAGTAGGATGCAACCGGTGACTTAATTCTGATTATTCTAAATGAAACTGTGGGCTGAGATCAAACGATATCTCCCGCGTTCCACGTTTGGAATAGAAATACAAGTGATGGACTCCCACGGACAGCTGAATTCCATTTTGATGAGGATTTTTTAAGAAAAATCTAACCAAGACTGTCGAAAGAGACTGCACCCTGCGACTTTACCAACTGGATACGGATAACGAAGCCACTTGGAACAAATTTGATGATGTAAGGAACATCCGGTTTTATCAGTTTGCAGTTATTTTTGTAAATAACTTCAAAACGTTCATTTTAGCCAAGCTGCATTTATCAACAGTTTTACCGAAGCTAAGTTGACGAAAGTCAACTTGGCCCTAAACCAGGGTATAGCTATGTTTAACTAGTAGTGTCAACCGTAAGCGACATTTAAGCTGAGGTTTGCACTTGCAAACTAGGTCATCTAGTATATTTAAGGTGAGGAGGAATTTTGAAGATCAATCCACTCAAATCAAGAATCGAACTGATCAAGCAGTTGTATTTTCAGGCGGATGTGAACAGTTGGCGTTGGTTAGTTTTCAACATATAGTTTCAGATAGTTCGACAAACTCATAGACCCGTGGCAGAAAACCTAAAAAAGCATCTGAAAATGAGAAACCTGGCACTTTGCAATTTATACATGTACTTACCTGTAGGTGTTGCAACAAAGTTTAAAACAATGTACTGCGAATTATTGACGTTTGTCAACTTTTTCGCATAAACAAATCACATTGGATTCAGTATGACAACCTTGTGGAAGTATCATGAATGGGGTGTGCCTGACGCCAGAGAAGAATTTGACAGGACCGATTTCTCTTTAACTGATTTCCCTTGGATTTACTGCTCTTAGACTGAGCGTAATTTTAATGACATCTACGAAGCTCAGTTTGCAAGCTCACAAGGAATTACGTCTCAAGGTCTACGAAACTTGTGATGCGCAGCTTGCCTTTCTCGACTCCTAAATCAAAATCGATAAGCACCATAGAGACATGTGTTACTGAGCTTACAAGAACATAGGAGCCTTTTCTAAATTAAAGGAACTTGGCGAGAAAAACGAAATAGTGGGAAGGTGTGCTGTGCTCTTTTGATATTCAGCTCCAGAATAGATACTGGCGTGTAGTAGTCACGATCGCAAAGTGCTGTACGCTGCGAGTTAATATTGTATTGCGATAGCCGGCTAGGTATTCAGAAGGTCACTTCAAACATAAGTCTGACATTCTACGCGATTAGCATATTTTGATCTGGACGCCGATCGGAATTGATGGACACATCTGAATTGGTCCTTCTCATTGGTCCCATTTGACAGTCACTTATTCCCAGTCATCAAACTTCGAGGAATTCAGCGGAATTCCACCACCATTAGCTTTCTATTTTGACAAATATTCGGCCATCGCTTCCGTATGCTGTGATTTAATACTGCGCTGCTCATGGCTTTGTGCTACCCCTCTGCATACGAAGTGGGCACACCGCTGATGGGGACCCGGTGCACATTTATTTCTGTGTCGCAAATATCTGGGTCATTGGATATTTACGGATTTCTCCCGATTGTACACCCGTCTCCAGTGCGTCATGTACATCCGGATAATGATAAGGTATTTCGCCTCTGTTAACCATCAATCGATCCTCACGCATTCAGATAAGCCTACTTCACTTCTGTTCGACGTCTGATAAGACTTTGCAGGTGGGTGGGTAATCTTTGACTCAGGCGCAATCACTCGCGTTATCGGCTCCAGCTGGTTTGCTATGCGCCCGATACATGGTCTGCTTGACGTCACTCAGTATTTTAGTGTCCAAACTGGTCAGTCCAAAACCAGTTAGTCGATGCAGACTATGTTTCGTGTTTCTGGTAGTTTCATGGAATATGTTGGATACACTGAGTTCTAACGAGAACACGAAGCATCTGAGAAACCTGAAAACAGGTCTCTCTAGTTTGCATGTTGTAAATTAGAGAAATCGAGGTGATTGAATTGAGAAGGCAGTTGAACGTTCAGGATTAGCGAGTGATTCATGCGTGAATAATATATATATATATATGTGTTGTTCAGTTCCACATCACTCTCGCTTTCTACAGCAAGTTCAGCCTTGAAAACTGCAGCATTTTTCAATATCTTAAAAATGTTGATCAATGTTTCAACAATGAGAGCTTCCACCCAGCTAGAATTCACGCACAACTCGGTGGAATGCAATTCTCTGGGTCAGTGTATCTCCGCATTCATAGGTCATTCGATATTTGGCCGAATCCCTACTGGTTAATGCAAGCTTACATTTACACTCGATAGTCAAATGAGAGTCAATCATCATGGCTTACGTCGAAAGTGGTATTACAGATCTTTTCACCTGCTTCAAATATTCTGGCAATGGAGCGAGCTGGTGGATAGTTCATCTCCTTGCTCAAGACTGCCACCGACGCGAGACTTTATTATTTGGAGTGGTCGAATACGACTACACTGTTGGGGAATTGTTTAATGTCTTCTAAAATGGGTAACCGTCTATCCTGAATAGCTCTGAGTTCTGTGTGAGTAGGTAGCCAGATAAATAGCATTGCATTCAATGGTTCCGCTGACAGATCTAATACGGATAGGTTTCGTTTGATTATTCCTCAACAAAGATGCAGTATTTAGCCCCTCCACAGTGTATGCGCCCACTCAGTGTATTTTTGGTCGCTCTTTTATACACATCTCAAAGATTTACTGGCTTTCTGGATTTTAAGTAGAAAGCAGTATACAAACCATGAAGAATTCCTGAGATCTTTCCAAGTAGTGCGCAGAAATCTTTACGCAATTAACAACACATGCTGTGAAATAAAGCAGCCGTGTAATTGGTCACCATTTAGTTTACACTTGTTTCCTGAAAAAGGCCTTAACAGTGACCACTCATGTTGTATTTTAAATTTTCTCATATAAATTTGCCATAGTGAAGCAACTAGGAACGCAGTGACAACCGTGAAAGACAGGTGGCAAGGTATGGATTAGGCAACCAATCTTGGTCCTTGTTTTTTATCACACCAATTGGATGCAAAAATAACTTACCAACTGAATTATATAGCATTTGGATGAAAACTGTGGGATGCATGCAATTTTTATTAGCTAACAGAGCCACTCCTACAAAAACATCAAAATGCAAAAGATTTTATAGAAGCTTCTTGAATGGAAAAGTGGTCTGCAATGTACTTGCCTAGATAGGGACCGTGACAATGCCCGTAACCTTCAACACTAGTCTGACTTGTGTAATCAATCACGTGCTTCGCAAGTAAGCCTGAAGTATCTGCGAAAAATTCAAAAGCCATTGAATCGTTGGGGCATATATGATCGTGGTAGTTGTACGTGTTGGTTAACCAATTTACATATGATAACTAGTATTATCTCACAGCATACAAAGCGTAAGCTTACCATACGGTTATTACAGAGTACAAAACTAGTTATGGTGCGAATCAATCGATCGTTTCGCCTCGTTCAAACTCAAAACGATGTATCATCTGTACTATATTGTGCGAAGGGTGTAGAATTTTCTCCTCGCTAAGATGCTATGGATGGGTCTCCTAAATCTTTATCAATCTGGTGGGATCTGATGTTGAAATGTACCTCGTTGCTTCGAGTGCGTTATTGACCGTTCGTCATTGCGGACGTTTCTATACTACAGAAACCTGATTGGATATCAGCATCCAGCTTTCCACTGCTCGCTTACCATTGGTAAACCAGCTTCCGACAACAATCCACATTATGGATTTTAAGATAGGGAACTAATCAATGGGAAGTAACTTTCGTTCTTACGTATGCACAGATTTCTGTCTGGTAATACAGTTTAGAAGATTTGAGTCCAAGGGGATATGCTGAATAGAAATACAAATAAGCTTCTGGTGGAAAGGTGCGAAATATCTATTTCTGTCAGATGAATCAAATCGAATCGCTCATCTCAAACACACTTTCGGTGCCTAGCTGCCACACCACCCGAAGGAAGAACAATGGCTGAGATACTGCCAGATTGCCCAAGCCTAGATTCGAGAGTCAGAGGTAGGGTTCGAACCACGGACCTTCCGGTCAGTAAATTCGTCCTAATCACTTGAGCCATCTCGCCCCCCAGATGACCGTGTGGGTTTCTTCCAAACAACCAGGCAGATGGAGTAGTTGACAATAGTAACAGGGCGACAAAAGCATTCAGTTTTTGAAATCGCATGTCGAATGAGCACTTGATAGATTACGACAACGATTTGGTGCCCGATAGTTGCGTTCAACTTGATTGACAAACTTACGGATGGTCTTTGAAACTTGCTACTTTTAGTGTTATCTCTGTTCCATTTCCAGCCGAGGAGAGAAACCGTCACTCCGGCTGCCTCAGTTTACATTCTAGCCAAACCAACACAAAAATCTTATGCAAAATTCTAGCTACTTATTGGGGGGCTGTGATTCTTTGCTTACTTTTGAGTATGAATAGCCTCTAGTGATTGCACGTTTTCCAAGGAAAACTGTGGAATTCCGACGTAAGAATATGAAATGAAACATGTGGAGCTGGTAATGACTTATTGGTCGCTGAAGGTCTGATACAGATATACAAAGAATCAGACCATCAAGCTAAACGTGAAGACGTAATTGTAAAATAGCCGCGAATGTCATGTGCCTATTGGCTACTCTTGACGGAAGTCAAGGTGAGTTGTATCCTGTCGCACCAGCCTTCTTGAGATTCGACCAACCGAAGTCTGTGGATTGCTTCCTTGCTATACACGAAATAGGGACTTATTATGTCCTCAACATTACTAGATCCAGATTAGTCTTCAACACCCTACCTGTGTCCTGGCCCAGAACACAACTGGGTTCAAGTAGAACATAAGGTTGACGGAAACTCGGGGACTGCGCGCCTACCTAATGAGCCCCAACTGGAAGGGCGAAACCAGTCGAGGGCTGTTGAAGAGTTTCCAGCAACCTTGTGAATAGTGTCCATTACTGGAATGTGTTACGTAATCACGATTTTGAAGTCCTGCGGTTCTTTGTCCTCGTAACAAACACACAGCGTGAAGTTAAAACGTTATATAACAGAGTATGTAGGTTAACGTTGATTGTTACTATAAATAGCCTCGCTTTTTTTACTTATTCTTGTATTGCTACGTAAAATAGTCCCCTGTTATAGGAGCTGATGCCATTGTCATTTTCGTAGTTAGCTTACGGAACGGTTCTACTATCGTACTTCCTTGTGGTAGTGTATGAAGCGACACAGATATATGTCTTCCTGCGTTACAGAATTCACGTCATACAGAGTTGTCTTATGATGCGAGATGATCCAAGTGGTTAGAGTGCGAATTCACTGACCAGTAGGTCCGTAGTTCGAACCGGACCTCTGCATCTCGAATTCCCCTATCAAGGCAGTAACCCCGCCATCGCTCAAACTTCGGGTGGTATGGAAGTTAGGCACCGAACGGTGCTACAGCTGAATGTTTTTCTAACGAGAGTTGTCTTCTTTCTCTTCAAAACGTGTTTTCGCAGCATTGTGCTACGACTAATGCCTATGCCTTTTCAAGCTTGAATAAGTGATGTGGATGAACTCTTCTCTAGTATTCAGAAACGTGGTGTCTGACGATATTTGCGGCAACCTTATTGGTGAACAAACCACTCTTCCGATGGCTCTGTAATTATCAAATGCCTTACTTTAACTCTATATTCGTTGTCTGATAACTTCATAGGTACCAGAAGATTCCTCCGTATACCGGAAAATTACAAGTGTATGCTCAGTAAGGAATACCCATCGCTCATCACACTGACTTGAGCTCAGCCTTATCGTCCTCGTCAGCACCTTCGTTCTCATCATTATTATCACTTGATTGACGAACAAAATCGGTGCTCAGCACTGATGCTTTGGTATTGCGCATCCATAGCCTAATTGAAAGCCATGCTGTGACAAACAGAATAAAAGTGCCTGGGGAAGTGAATTGGTGCCAGTTGACCACAATTTTCCGGTCTTGATACGACTGCATCAGCATACACTAATTTAGGCAAAGCGCATAGAAACTGACAACGACAACTCTATTTCTATTGATCAAGTGCCACATCTTGCAATGTCCCCCATCCTGTGAAGTGGGAATTACGCGGAATCAATCGTGGAATTTGAAATTCATCAGCAGTACTTATAATTTTATTCTCCCCCGCCATGCTACAGGTTGAAAATTTCTCTGCATGCGCCACTCCCAATTAAACATGGAAAATATTTTCTCGGCATGCACAATGGATACATCATTCGAGAAACGTCCACACCGCACAACCAATCACTCGTTTTCCGATCGTCTTGTTGCCGAGACGCTGCCACAAACCTACATGAGCCATCGTTCTGAGAAAACGGTTATCGAACGACTGAAGACGTCTCAGTCCCACTCCTTAAAGAGGCCACTTATCTCGCAGCTATACAAACAAACAGCACCCAAGTTAGTGTAATACAAACAGGGATAAACCGATTTGGCGTCATCGGTATCCAAAATTAGCAAACAGGAACCGAACCTTAGAGATCGATGCATTGTCGTCATCTCTCACAATATTATTAAAACTAATGCACCTTTGCACGCACCACAGCTCGGTGCCTTTTTCCGGAGTGTAAGTGACGTATTTAGTAACTGTATATGCGAAAGAACGAACTACAAATTTGTGGGTGCGAAGCGTACGCAAAGAATGGGATAAATTGGGTCAGCTCATCCAGAATCGTCTGCGCCTTCTCCTCCACAAAGACGCTTACGATGTCATCTGCACATACCAGATAGCCAGAAGCCATTTGAATACCTGTGTCTTGGGGTTCTTGAAGAGTTTGTCTCATTGCCTGGTCCACTTTGAATGAAATACGGATGAATATGGGCCATCTTGTCGATAAATGCTTGGTGTACGGGAGCTTTCGGAAAGCTCAAAAGCTCAGAAGACTGAAACTACAGTAAACTCATTACATCCAAATATTTCTCGGGTTTTCTCGAACTGGTCAGCGTGTTAATCAGAGCAGATACGTCATTTGCACCTTACTGGCGCTTCAGAAAACATTCTGACTTTATACTCATGTTTGAATTTGTTGTTTCGGTATGCACATCTGCAGGTATTAGCGCGTTGTTTACATATGCGCGAATAATTTGTTATTTTCTTTGAAGGTATTCACATCAGCATTATTTTCTCGTTTGTTTTTTGCAAATCACTTGATTCTCGACAGGATCTTACGTAATCCACCATTGTACGCAAAGAATGCGACAAGTTTGATCACTTCATCCGGAAGCACCTGCCTTTCTCCTCTTCGAAGATGCGTGCTATGTCATCTGCACATTCCAGATAGCCAGAAGCCTTTGAATACCTGTGTTATGGGGGTCTCGCAGACTTGTGTTCATTTTCTGGTCGATCTCGAATGAAAAGTGAATATAAATTGGCAACCATTGTCGGAAGATAATTGGTGTACGGCGGTATGTAGAGAGGCCTTCGTATTGTTTTACCCGCTCAAAAGTTTGAAAGCATGCAGAACGTATTGTATTCACAAACTTTCCAGATATTCTTTTATGGGCCAGTAAATCATCCAGCAAACTCGGATGTAGCTTGTAAATCTGGGAACACTAAAATAGATGGGTACCAATGTAACGGTAGTACTATTAATGGGAAGGCATGCGAGTAGTATGTGTTGTTTTTGGGATTCCGCAACAGATCTACCCTTTTCAAGGGACGCAAAGCGAAATTCCAAACACAACACATACTACTCGCATGCCTCCCCATTAGTAGTATCACCTTTACACCAATACGTACTACGTTGATCTAGCTCCCATTGGATTGCGAAAATATGATCAACGAATCTCCCACCAGGATGAATGCTCTCGAGTCATTGTTAGCGGCCTACCATGAGCCAGCAAAGGATAGATCACACTGAGAGCCTAGTTGGGTCTGGAGTGAAGCTGATATGACCCTATGAATAGTACAATCACTACCGGCCATATTCCGAACACGACCAGCATAACTATGTCAGCTCAGTTGTATAGGTTAGGTTACCTTTTCAAAAGAATTCAAATAGAAAATGGAAAAGCGCGTATTCAACACTTCACAATCGTCCTTAAACAGTGCAGTTAAAAGTCATCCACATCAGGAACTCTTTGATGAAACCATTCAAAAATTGGATCTACAGTGAATTTAAAGGTATTGTACCGGTGTTGATCTACCAAGCCCCTGGACGCTGCTTTGTCTGGTGCTGGTTTGGACACCATGCTGTTGGAAATGATGGCGTCAGGTAGGAAGTTTTGTGGTTTAAAATTCAGCTCATAACGGACAACACACATCAGGGGTTGAAAAATATCGATGCGTACAGTCTTGTCGAACATGCCGACGTTAATTTACAAGAAGTAAAGTCGCGTCGGACGGTGCATGTTACTTATATGCTTGCGCTTTCTTGATGAGCAAATCGAATGCAAATGCTACTGAATATGTGTATTTCATTTACGAAATGCAGTCCGTGTTCAGTAGCGTTGTTTAGCACCAAGCAGGCGATATACTATAGAATCACCTACTGATCTGCTTCCTACACAATAATCTATGCCAAATTTACCGAACACATGAATAACTTCACGAAGAAATAGCGTCTTTAAACTTTCATATCCGCTTGGACGTCCCCCAGACCCTTGACAATAGATGTCTAATCCCAAATTTTACTAACTAGGCCCCATCTGTTAACCCGCTACATTCATGTATTCTTGTGTTGATGCATGCATTTATATCTACGGCTTTTCAGTGTCACATCAACTATCCCGCCAACAAACGTGACATACTGATCGGCATCATTTCCGTCTTACCCTGCACGCCAAAATCTTGTTAAAGAATCAATCTCTTGTCACCTTCTTTGCAATACGTTCGGCTGCATCTACCGTACGGAGACGTACATCAGTTGTCCTTCCTTCCGGCCTAGGTACGGCGGATTTCTCCACCTAAATATTTGGTCTACGCTCACTCCCGTTTCCTGGAGATCAGAAGGGCTGTGGTTTGTGGTACATCCAGTCAATCGTTTTTTCTGTGTCGTGTTCCTTGGACGTGTCTCGTAATCACTGAGCCAAAGGATGTCTTCAAACATGTGCTTACAGAAGCCTCCCTCAGTCAATATTGATCTGCCAGTCTTGTCTCATTGGTTTACGAAATCTTTATCACTGGCACGTGACTGATAAATCAATATGGTTACAGCTTCGTATGATGGTGTTGTCTTGTACTCCATCACACGGACAGTCGTGTCTATCTTAACTGTGGTGCTTCAAAGGATTGATTTTCATCTTTGAAGTTGCTCTCCTTGAGAAATTTTGACGCCGTACACTGAAACAAATACAATGTGTGTCCATAAATGCACTTTTATTCACAGATGAACTAATCGTTTCATCACATGGCATGGTCGATTTACTTACGTGATGAAGTCAATAAATGCATAGCTGACGAAATGGTATTGGAGAGGTTCTCAGGATTTTAATAGGTCTTTTCGAAGTTGCGTGGGTGAGGCGTTTGTCAGTTTTCCTATACCAAACTGATCCAGCAGCTCCACCATATTCCGAACAAGTTTCATTGGTGCCAGTCGGCATACAGCGCATCCACCATTCTGAAGAAAAGACAAGGAACATCGGTCATTTGTTACACCGTGGGGATGCATAGATCGAGTATTCAACGCTTCCAAATGAATAGAGTCAGAATCACTCACCGAAGTTAACCACGGTTGAACACACGCCTTGTGATATACATGAAAACAAGGTAGGGTAATAATCTCATCGTTTGCTTCAAAGTCCACCAAGCATATTGCGCAGCAGGGAAGCTTTCCAGATTGGTCGGAACTCACAATACTGGTTACCGTATATGAGCTTAGACGTGGGCCTTTGACATCTGAAGTGGGAGGCAGAACAGTGTGAACAGTATAAGAATGTACGTTGTAAAGCCTCAAAGCGTCCATCGTGTGTAGGTCTACCAAACGCATGTCCCCCGACGATTTCAACACATTTCATTTGTATTGCGGCCAATGACAAACTTACAGAGGTGGTTTAGTTTGGTCTTAGATGAGAGTGCTCGGTACTCATATCAGCGAAGAAGAAATTCAACAGTTCCACTTACCAGTTGGGTCACTGTCTCGCCTTGTCGGATCCATCGCAGAAGCCTCAAGATACTATACATAAAAAAGTAGACGTTGCGAATCAAATATACAATCAAACCTCGCCCTCACTATCACTTTGATTATCTCTTTGGTTCGTTGTCCGTCGGAGGCTGCCATCAGAAGTCAACGTAGATCTGGAGGCAGATGAGTTGCGGCTACGTGGTCTCATGGTCCAGTAGTTTTTGATGGCGCGGATGAAGGTGTAATAGACAAGCGAACGCATCATTGACACGTGTTCTTCATTCAACTCACTGGTCGAAAAGTACGCACTGCAAGGTTCAACAAACTCGCCAGGAAGGCAAGCTCGCACGCGGTGACATACATACCGCCTAATTTTCAATTTGCGTTTTTCTGACAAATTGGGGACCTATGAAAAATTAATTCAGAATAAAAGTACAACAAGTGATGTACTATACTTACTTGTTCCTCCAGTTGCTGCAAAAGATCGTCGATTATTCCTTCGACGGTCACGTACACTCCGGGGCACATATTTGGATGTTTGGCTCCCATTTGATACGTAAAATCGATACGCAGTACCTCGTTGGCGTAATTTGAAATCGCCTAAGTCTTCTCCTTTTTATAGATGTGAGTCTGCTCATGTGTGGTGACGGGTGTTGGCATTGAAGTATTCAGCCATACGCTTTTCTTTGTGATTGGTTTTCATGTGTGTGGAATTCTGGTGACTTTCGTTTCATGGTGAGCAGTCCGCCTATTCTGATTCGTGGAACTTCTTTTATCTCAGTACATCGAGCAAGTGTGGTCGGATGTCTAGCAATGATGAACTGGAAATAACTAGTCTACGGCGTAAAATGTTCTGCTACAGGAAGCTTGAGTAAGAACGAAAACCTAAGAGTGTTGATTCATAAGTGTTTTGAAGAATCGGTGCTTTATGTACTTTATGTATATGTATGTATGTATGTATGTATGTATGTATATAACTGGAAATTAGGGCACCACTACTCCTGAAAACTAAAGCGGGACGGGATCTTCCCATGGGGTTATGAATCTATGCTAAATAGGCAAAAATATCAAGCACGATGAACTGCCGCGTACGCCACCTCAACGCTCCCGAGTACGTAGCGATTGACGGAAATCGTTGCTGCACCAACCTGACGTCCAGTAAATTACCAGGTCGCATTTATTTCGCTTGAAGTGACAAGCATACAGGGAGTGATTTGTCACTCAGTCCACTCTACCCAACAATGGGAAAAAACACTCCCGTCCCAATGCAGACCGTGACATGCCAGAAGAAAAGAGCTGCAGAGATTACCTGTAGGCTTGAATCCCTTAACTCCTCTGGTAAAGACGGTATCGCGACAGGGCTATTCGGGACTTGTACCACTGATCTTAACGTGCCACCGCATGCGACAACGAAGTTTTTCCATCTGGTTGGAGCACATCTATCCTTCATAAGCAGTGACAAATCTTCTTGGGGTGACTCTTGAGTGACCCTAAGAACCGGAAATCAATAGAAGACATATTGGAATCGGACGGTATCCCCGAGAAGGTCGTCATCCTGTTAAGGTTTCACTACGCATCCATGAGAACACTTGTTCATGCGTATTGTGAATAGTCATCACTCTTTGGCTTATCTCTTATCTTTCATGATTCGACAGGACTGTCGTCAATCTGTCATACTGACTGGTTGGATAAGGTACTTCATTAAACTGACAGAACACATGTGCTGCGATATGCTGACCTTTATTTTACTCTTTTCAGTCCCGGACGTAAAATATGTACGTTATATAAATAAAGACCAGAAACTAAGTTGCGACAACTGATCAAATCAAACCATCCAGGACTGTATGCACAAAATCAGTTGGTTACCATGGCAATGATTAGGTGAATTAGAGAAATCAGCCATCCAGTGCCTGTTAAACAGTGGCTCTACTCCTTATCTATGTAACTTGTGTGTTTTACGTCCGCATCTGAAGGGAGCGAAAGAAATGTTAGCACGTTACTGTATCTATCCAGTGTTAGATGCGATGAGATGAATAGAGGGGACGCAAGTGTGAAAAACGCAAAATATCGTGTCCGAGTGAATCAAACTTTCTGTGTCCATATCGTACGTATATTTTATTCGCGCTAATCGAACGTGTTGTGACACGTGTTCAAGTTAGCATACGAAAGATGCGAGAGATCTACCTTTATTGCTCGGGCTTAACTGAATGGTACTTAGTATCCCCAGGAAAATCACACCGAATAAGCAAATGTGGCCACCTAATGGAATAGTCAGAACAACAATTAAGGCAAATGAGGTACAAACTAACAAATTTCTGAAAGCGAATTTCTAAATCGTTTGTGGTTTTCATATGTATAAAGGGCAGCAGATTTATTCTGGATCTGCTCAGCAGTTAAGAACGATAATGTTTCCAAGCTATTGCTAACATCCTTTCCAAAATTTGCGCATTTGTGGTGAGAACGTGGAATATCCGGGTTTAGCAAATGTGACCGACTGTTCAAGTCATCTCTTGTGTTTCAACATGAAGTTTTTGGCGTTGATTAACAAGTACTTTTGCTCGGAATTTCCCCACTGGACCTCATTCATCCGTTTCTACAAACTTCAAACAAAAAAATCGTTCACCTGTAACACCCTTCTTGTGCCTAGCTTCCATGCCACCCGAAGGTTTCATGAGGGCTGGGATGCTGCCAGTTTGCCCAAGCCTAGACAGAGCAAGTCGAGAGGCAGAGATCGGGTTTGAACCACGGACCTTTCGATCAGTCAATTCGCGCCCTAACCACTTGTGAGGAGGGTGAGCGGGGTACCGAATGTGATCGCTTTCTATCTATCTCTCATAGTTCAAGACTGTTCTAAAGAGCATCATGCAATTTGCATGATTTTTATTAATTGTTATTCACTGGGACTGTTTCATTCAGAACCCCTGCATTCCGTTAGTATTTCCCAGCAGAAGTTAGTGTGTCAGCACTTCTGCGATCGTACTTTTTTCAGTAATATAACTGATACTCTTAGTTGTATGACGAATGCGCATCTCTAAGTGGCTAACATAACTAATTAGGAATGTTCAAATTGTTTGTGCACTCAAGGGGTGATTATAATCCTTTTTTTAAACAACACTCAAATATATCACGTTGATTCGCGATTTTGGGCTCGTGCTGGTGTGCTGGTTCAGGCGTAAGAGGAGAATGCTGGTAGCTAGATTGTCGTTGGTGCTTTCACCGAGCTGGACATTTTGATTGGAAACGTTTCTACACCAAGCGAGGTGACAATATCAGTGCACTGTTAGGGAGCGTGGTAAAGCAAAGCGATGGGTCGGTGGTTGTGATCTGAGTAGTGTTGCTTGTGGCTTCTGCTAACCGGAGCTGATATTCACTCACCATTGGTTGTTCGGTGGGGGGGGGCTCCAATGGTTGTTCTGTTATCCTGTGTACTGATTGGTCGGTGACCACATGACCAGTAGAAAGTTGATTTCAGTAGGGTTATGTTTGTCATCGGCATTCAAAACTCAATAAAACTGAAAACGAACTATGCCATTCAGGAAGATTAGAATGCTGGAGTGCGTCATGATGAAATATTATGCGAGGACTTGGAACGGTTGATTACAAAATGGAAATCAAAAATACTTGGCACATTAAAGAAGTGGATAGAAAGAGATCGCAACTTCGTAGATGATATTGAAGAAAACGATGGAAACTGTGTAATTACTGAATCGGGGGATAAAAAACTCGCCTTTTACCTCTGGAATTAAGTGGCTATCCTAGATTTGAGAGACACTTTCTGCCACCGACTGCAGTGTCCTTGGAGTAAAACCAAAACGAACTGGTCAGAAGCGTACCGCATTGTAAAACTGAAACAAATGACGGTACAAAAATGTGGCCCAATCAAATAGAAGAACAACTAACCATTTAAGGCGAACAGTTGTCTGTAGTAGCGACAGATACAGTTCACTTGTCGAATAAATGGTACGTTGCGGAACCCACTGAAGATCTGCATGACACGACCTGCATCGAATTGCACGCTGAGAGCAGACAAACCTTCTTGTGCAATTGCTTTTAACAAGACTAAAGCGTCTTGATGTAAGTTTTAGTCCTGAAATCCATCTTCATCAACTTGCCGGAGTCGAGAGGGACTAAATCATACTTTGATGCATCTGTTTATTTCTCACATCTCTTATCCGTAATCGATAGGAAGGAGAAGTTCCATTGATTCATTGCGCGCGATTTGTAGACACACTTTTTCGGTTTTCTTCGTATCTCTTACTTGTTTAATCATGTTTGAAAGCGTGCGAGAGTGAGGTCTTCAACGATCCAGTGACCAAACCGAGCCTCATTATTATTTCATACCAAGCCATATAGACACAAAGTACTGTATTGCTGAAACAGTTGAGTGAATCAATGTCAAATTGTAGACTCTTCTGATTTACTCTGCTTTCGATTTAGTCTGCTAATCAACCAATGTGTCACTACCTCACAGATGAACTTCTCCACAAACTGTAACGTAGTGAATTTCGGGTTTTGGTTTCGCCTCCGGTAGATGGAAATACTGAGCTGGACAATGTCTAACCGCGAAGAACCAGGGCAGAGTGGGCCTGCCTGTAAATAATGCTATATGGACGTTCTGAAGACACCCCAGAAATAGTCTATGATCCCAAATGGCAACACAGTTTGATCACCATTGTTGACCACATTTGAGGACGATCATTCCAAGAGGACGAGTCACACAGTGTATCTGCATCTAGGATAGGGACATGAGATCAACCTCTGAACGGGAATGCTGATATTGTCTTGTTACTTGCCCTATTGAGGCACATGTGCTTAAGAGTAAAGACTCTCCAGTTGAAAAGAAATGGACCGGATTATAAATCTCAACGAGATGTTGGCTGCCTTCCCACAGTAGAGCGGACCGTCAACTTGAATTTCTACAGCGAATTTCATTTAATTATATTTCATCGGTGCTTTATTAAAGTAGCAAAAATCCAACAACAAAGAAAGAGAATTAAACAATAAAGCCCCTGCAATCTAGAAGTCTAGGGGCTTTTTTGCATTTTTGAACAGGATTTTAATGCTGTATCGAGCCGAAGCCCATGTTACCTAAGAGCCTATCAGACATTCCATGAAATGAAAACGCACGACTTCATATACTACTCATAAGGTTGCTGAAAATTTTTCGAATGTCCACGAGTAGTTTTTTCCTTCTTGGGGCTCATCAACTAAGCGCAGTCCCAAATTTGGGTTCAAGTATAACATATGTTTGACGGAAAATTGGGGACTGCACCTACCTGATGAGCACCAAGAAGGGCGAAACCGGTCGTGGGCTGTCGATGGATTTTCAGCAACCTTGTGATTAGTTTCCCGTATGAACATATACTGCGATATCTCAAATATCGCTAACTGAAACATGAGGCGGTCTGTATGCAGCACATTCAGTTGTAGAATATCATAAACGAGAAATTCAGTCAAGTCTCTTGTGAAAACCAAATTGATTTGCAAATGAATGTATTTCTCAAAAAGGAGTTTAGCCAGTTCAATCTAACTCAAAACGTGGCTGTGCACAGAAACCGAGTGCTAGTGAACGCCAATCGAAATGCCAATGTTATCCTCATAAAATGTCTGGGCTTGCCATTTACCTGAGCGTGTCTTTGAATGGACTATTGGAGACGTGACTCCCCACGTCTTGCTGGTTGATACGAATTTGTCAGTCAGTAAGCCAAAGGCCAAATCACTGGACCACGGGTAGATACTCGGTGAAAGCCAGTTGAATTACACCCTACATCCAAATTCGCAGTAATGTTGTAAGCTCGAAGTTCTTGAGTCTGTAATGATAAGCCGATCCAGTTTGGTATTCAGCACTCGGACATACTTGAAGGTTACCCACTGACTGTTATTCATTTAATGAACTGTCCTTAGCGGACACAAAGGTCCCCACTGATCTTGTAATCCGTCCGCCTTATTTCGTGTTGGGCGTATCACCACAAAGGAGAAAAACGCATTTATTGCGTTCATTCCTCAACATGGTTGTTCTGGCCGCTTCGTTTGTGAAGGAATTTTTATGTGGTGGAATTTATCTCCTACAAACTGGCGTTGGCTTGCTAAAATCTGGGTACGCTCCATATCAGCAACTCGAATCTGCACAAAACGTAGAGCAGTTATTGGTAGTCTGAAAGGCTTTTTTGAGCTAAGCACTTTTGGTAAGTTCCATTTTCGTGGCTTTCTATCGTTAAATTTGCATGGTGTTTCCGGCTTCTGACCTTCTCATCATCTCTGTTTGATCAGTTATTGCGTTCACGCAGAACTTGTGGCAGAAAGTTTATTCCAAGAGGAGTAAAGACCTAGTGTTTGCTATCGTAATATAAAAAAATGAACAAGATGACACGTGATTTAATAATCACCGAGACTAATTTTAATTTTCCACTAATCTAGCCATCCTATGGTGATTGGGCAGAATTCCGAAACCAGTTACTTTGCTTTACTGGGTATTTTTGGTGTGCGAACTCATTTGGCCAAATCTCCTTTGGAGAAATCGACAACAGTTCCGAGACAAAAGTCACATGAAATCACGGATCAAGCGTGGGCGAGATGGTTCAGTTGATTAGAGCGTGAATCCACTGGTCGGAAGGCTCGTGGTTCGGAATCGACCCCTGCCTCTCGACTTTTCCTATGTGGGCTTGGGCAACCTGGCAGTACCTCAAAACTTGTACTTCCATCGGATGGCATGGCAGCTAGGCACCAAAAGAAATCTATAGGAGAACCATTTTTTACAGGTCAAACTTTTTTATGTGGGACAATACTGTAGTTTTTCTTGGAAATTTTAACCTTAAGAACAGTTGATTGCGTACTTTTCAACTTGAGTAAGAGAAGCATAAACCAAACCGTATTAATTATTAAGCTAACTAACTTAAAATATCTGGTTGTTTTTGGACCATGTTTATTTCTGTCTTTCGTGTTCTGTACGGAAAATTCCATTTCCTTGGAGGATCATCTTTTGGGAATACGGACGCTTGAAGCGTTTTCATTTTGGGGAAAGTTGGTGAATAGATGGACTTCGCTAAATAACAGCAGTGTGAATTTTATTCTCATGTGATGTGCTCACCTAAATAGAAAGTTGTGAAAATATTCCTGTTTGCCTGTGGTCGAGATGGAAGACGATCTTCATGTCCTGAGGTTGATACCACACAACACTACTGCCATGAAAACTGTCTGGAGCTTTTTTTCATACAGGAAACTACTCGCAAGGTTGCTGAAAACTCTTCGAAAGCCCACGACCGGTTGCGCTCCTCCTTGGGGCCTGTAGCTTTGTCCTTATGCTAGTCTCCCATGTGTGAGCTTATTAGAAATTTCATGAGCTTGCATGTCTACCAGTCGCACTAGGAATGTTGTCTAACTATCAAAAAGTCATTGTCATTTGATACCGAGCAGGTTGCGATTTAAATATACCCTCAATTGGTCTCGGCTCAGAAGCTGCGCGATTGCATTCTTATCTATGTATCCACGACGAACTCCAGCGTTTACGAATTCAAGACAGTTGTTTTACTGTTGTCCCGTTTCTGCGTTTCTATGATATTTTGTTGCATCTCTTATCTGATTCCCAGATATTACTTTCTAACTGCTTGTTCTGTTTCCACGCACTTGTTTATGTGGTCCTACACAAGTTCCATTTGGACGAATGAAACAGCCAACAAGTTCCAAACGGTAAATGCGAATCGCTTTCCAATGAATGATAAAATAGTTTCGCGTCTTGTAAACAGACAACAAATGCAAGGTTGGTTCAAAAGCTCAAAGGGCTGCAAGCGTTTTCAGGATTTGAGCAAATCACATCGAACTGTTCCTTGTATCCGTGTGACGAAACAACTCCAGTGCGTTTTGAAGCAGTTTGGTTGGCACCAGTCGGCACACAGCACACCCACCATTCTGAAAAATAACAAACAAGGATTGCTTGGTTAGTAAAATTTGTAGTTACACAGAAAACCGAAAAAAAGTCAGGCTTCTCTAATAAATACTTACCGAAAATAGCCACTTTCGTACACACTCCTTGTGGTAGACGTGGAAGCAAGGTAGCGTGACAATTTGGTCGTTCTCCTCAAATTCTTCCAGGCATATTGAGCAGCGGAACAGCTTTTCGATTTGATCAGCACTTGCAAGACTAGATACGGCACAGAAACTCAAGCGGACACCTTGTGCGTGTATAACGTAAGAAAAAAGTACGGAATTAGCATCACAGCGCACTTTGTGAGCATAACGATCACGATAATTACGATTCTGACATTCAGATTCGACATTGCCCAGCAAGACGTTGCTCTAGGGAATCCTCTGTCTCTCTAAGCCTCAGTCACAGTTTATAGACATTGGAATGTCGTAAGCTGACCAACGTAGTTTGACGCTTTTACCAAATGCAGAAAAGATAAATTGGCCAACATCCACGTGGAGATAAACGCACTCACCGTTTAATTTGTTCCCTCGTCTGCCGTGTCGCATCCAGGGAGCACCGGAATCCTACATGGGTAGAAAATTTGCGTTTATCATGCTGAACTATAACCTACGCTTTCACCGTCAATCTGATTGTCTCCCCGACTAGACTGAAATTGGCTGTCTTTGTTTGAGGACATGGTCAAGGCGAATTTAGAGGCATTGCGGTTGCAAGGTTTCATGTTCCACCACTTTCTGATTCCGCGGATGAATATGCTATACACAAGAGAACGTATGACCGACAGCTGTTGTTCGTCCAACTCATCGTTTGAGAAATTACCGTTTTCCGGTTGAACTAACTCATGCGGGATTATACTTGCTCTCATGCGACGGTACACATATTGCCTCATTTTCTTCTTGCGTCTATTTGACAAATCAGGAACCTAGAAATTTCAAATGTAAGCGTGCAAAACGTCCTGTAACCTGCTTACCTTTTGTTCCAGTTCCTGTAGAAGCTTCTCGACCACATCACAGACTGCGAAGTGCACAGGAAGGCACAAGTGCGGATGTTTTGCACCCATTCTGAACGTGACTTCCTGCCACTTCAAATTGCTTTTCGTCAGATGTTCTGTTTTATAGATGTGATATTCTGGTCACGTGATCCGCAATATTGTCATTAAAGCACCCGTGAGCACGCATGCTACGAATGTACATCAGCCACTGTGTACGTGAAATTTCGTGTTTCGTTACTGGTTTCCTGGTGAGGAGTAATCTCAGTCTGGTTATTTATTATTCACGATCCAATACATCGTTCGCAGTACCCATTGGAGTTCGTGCAATAAAATGGAGAAATACAATTTTAAAATGATCAAATTGCGGCTCGCTTCTCACACAAAAACTGAAGTTCATCAGACCAGTTTAGAGAGCGTTGGGGGAATAGAGCTACGGGTGAATTACAGTTAACCCAAACTTTTACCGGGCACAGCTGACGGAATGAATCGCCTAGAGATTAATGGTTGGTGTGACTCATGTACGACATTGTTCCACAAATTAAATTTACAGTATTCTGATCGCTTCATAGGTATTCACTGTTGGGAAAAGGCGTCGTTCGATTCCGGTTCCAGGTGTTACACAAGAGCAATCTCTTTTGCGTACCCTGGTCCATGAATTACTTTATTCTTTTACCTTGCTTCAATCGCATGGAATCTCCTTAGGACGACCCGACCCCCCACGCATATTCAGAGTTGCTATCGGCACAGTAAAATCCACTTGGGGATAAACCATTTGATCAGCTTTTCGTGGTCTAATAGCACTTTCATGAAATCGGTACTTAAATGTTCGGAAATCTGTCCCCGTGTATCGAATTCCAATTAACGAAAATGAATACCGAATGACTCCAAATAACTCCGTGGTCTGATCCACCCCATTGAACGATGCACCCTACTCGAATTACTAAGTTCGAATATTCTCCAGGGGGTGGTTGTGTCTTCAAACCTGGGAAGGTATTCGTAGAACACTTCAAATACAACGGGATAGTCTATCGATTTTTTAGATATTTTAGAATACACAAGTTCGATGTTGCCCTGAGGAGAGTATGTATGTCTTGTTTGAATTGTGGCTGGGCGTTCTGGATACTGTAGCCTTCATGTGTTGGATGATTGTGGGTCGTATGTTTGTCGGAGCATTTAAAGGTCGGTCAGTTGTTGTTTGTTAAATATAGAGAAACATTCTGAGCTGTACTTTGAGGCTTATGCTGAGGTCTGACCACCGGGCAGTGTGTTCACAAAACTTGACAGCACATTCGTCCCCGTGCGTAAAACTGAGGCTCCATTCCTCACCATGTTACTGGAAATTCAATCAAGCAAACCTAACTAAAGTTCCTCCTGCCACGACGTCATCCTTTAGAATGTGGAACTAAAGCCATGTGTGAAGTTATTCGCTGCTTTTACGCATACCTTTGGTGGCGTAACAAACCATGCTTGTTTGACTTATCAGCCTAATCAATAAACCTTCGAAAAAAAGTTGTTTGTCTATCGACTTTGCAGATCACAGCTATTGACGTCACCAATGATTTACGCTCGACTTGTGGTCCAACTTGAATTTTGCTGCAGTCTGGGACAAGTGAACGAAATTCATGTTAGCTCAGTAAAACACTTGGTCTGACTCATATCAGTTTGTGCTTCGAAACATGCAGTTGACGACGGGTAAAATCCTGTGTATTCAAAGTCCGCCACGGATATTCTACTCGAATGTTTTCATTTACGTTGAAACCACCATTGATTTTAAAATTACACGCTAAGATCCAACGTTCTTATTGCGTTTCATTCTCAAAATAACTGTCAGATTTCTACGGAACACACAAGCCACGTTTTCCATGTGGCTGGGGCCTTGACAAATCTTCTATGCAGCGGTCTTCAGGAAATTTCCAGTTCAATTCATGCTCAGCCTTCCCTGAGTCAGACGCTTTTTAGACTAAAACTTCGAGAGTGTTAATTATTCAACCCTTATGTCACGGCCTAACGACCCCTTGTTTTAATCTGTATTACCAAGCACAAAGCGCTACCTACAGGAAAAAACTAAATTTATACTCAACAGATCATTTTATTTGGTTAAAATCCGTTATATGGATGATACTAGGAAGCTTGTCTAACAGTCGGAAGGGGGAGTGAGCTTACTGATCGCTGATATCTATGCAGATCTCAGTGGGCGAGGGCGTCTGGTTGAAGAGCCAATTACTACATCGTTTTCACAAGACATCACAGGTGGTTGTGTTTCACCTCACGTTATTTTGAGTTGGCATCTCACTGCGAAGAAGCATAGCTAGCAATGGTCAAACGCACAACCATCAGCGTCGGAACGACCTACTGAAACGCTCCTACCAGTTTTGTACTCTTTAATAATCGCTACTTGCAAGTACACACCGAATGCTAGAAAATGGTGACACTGTGATACTAGATAACAAAATTAACTACACTATACAACCTCCATCGTCATGCATTCCACAGTGATTCAGTGGCTATTTGACTTTTCCCAGGTAGTGCACGCTTACTCGCACATCACGAGATCGATTACACAATTCAAACTAGTGTTGAAGGTTACGTAACCTTAACCGATGGTAGGGAGCAAAGCATAAACCGCAAATATCCCCTGAGTTTTGGATTACGTAAGATCCTGTCGAGAATCAAGTGATTTGCGAAAAGTAAACGAACAAATAGCGCTCATGTGAATACTTTCAAAGAAAATAACAAATTATTCGCGCATATGTAAACAACGCGCTAATACCTGTAAATGTGCATTCCGAGACAACAAATTCAAACATCACTATGAAGTCAGAATGTTTTCTGAAGCGCCAGTGGGGTGCAAATGACGTATCTGCTCTGATTAACATGCTGGCCAGTTCGAGAAAACCCGGGAAATGTTTGGATATAATGCGTTTACTGTAATTTTAGTCGTCTGGGCTTTTGAGACTTTTGAGCTTTCCGAAAGCTCCCGTACACCAATATTTACCGACAAGTTGGCACATTTTCATTCACATAATGAGACAAACTCTTCAAGACCTCCAACACACAGGCATTCAAACAGCCTCTGGCTATCTGGGTTGTGCAGATGACATCGTAAGCGTCTTTGAGGAGGAGAAGGCGCAGACGATTCTGGATGAACTGACCCAATTTATCCCATTCTTTACGTACGCTTTGCACCCACAAATTTGAAGTTCATTCTTTCGCATATGCAGTTACTAAATACGCGCTTGCAATCCGGGAATAGAAGCACCGAATTGTGGAGCGTGGAAAGGTGCATTAGTTCCAATAATATTGTGAAGGATGTCGACAATGCATCGATCTGTAAGGTTCGGTTCGTGTTTGCTAAGTTTAGATGCAGATGGCGTCAAAGTGGTACATCCCGGAACGGAGACGTCTTCAGCTATTCGATAACCGTTGTCTCAGAACGATGGTAGGTGTAGGGTTACTGCAGCGAATCCGCAACAGGACGATTTGAGAAGGAGTGACCGGATGTGCCGAGCACCAAGAGATACAGTGGTTAGGCGTGCATTCCGCTTGCCGAGTACATGTTTTCCGTGCTTAATTGAGAGTGGCACAGGCAGACAGGTGTTCAAACCATTACATGGCGGAAGAGAACAAAAGTAGAGGGGAATGACTATGCCGAGTTGTGGTCGGATCGGTAAATTGTGGTAAACAAACGCTACCTCATATCCGCAGCCACCATTTTCTTATTTCCTTCACAGTAGGACTTTCAAGCAGATTATGAATGTACGGTATCGAAGCATTGGTTTTGTGTATTGATATTGTTCGTCAATAAAAATGATGACGAAAGTGATGGCGAACCCCAGTTGAGTGTGATTCCCAGCGGTTATTGCTTACTGAGCATACGTTTGTAGTTTTCCCATACACACAGCGATTGACTGGTGTCTACACTGTTACCAACCAGAAGGCAATTCCTCTAATAGCATTTTCTCTCAACAGAGTCCCTTGGAGATTTGTTGGTTCACCGATTAGGTTGCTACAAATTTCGTTAGACACCACATTTCGGAATACTGCGTCACTTATTTAAACTTGAAAAATTATAGGCATTAGTTGCAACCAAATGCTGCAAAAACACGTGTTTAAGAGACGGAAGACAACTCGGGGTGACGCAAGTAGTCATATCTCTCTCTGTTTTCCGTTATACACAATTAGAATAAAGATACAATAGTATACATCTTCCAAATGATTACTTGCACTCCAAACCCTATATAGCACAGATGAATTCAAAAGTATGGATGGTCTGGTGTGATAAACAGCCATCTTTCAACCGTAGTGGGCATTTCAACCGTATATAAGTTGAGGGCAACCCGTCCGAGAACCTAAGGAGTATGGCAGTATCACAATCATGAGCAAAACACTAAGAGGAGTTGCCGGATATCAAAGTTTTTTTATTGAATCTCCTTAAAATCGACACGTCTACAACAATGGGGTGGCCTTGGTGCATCGTAAACCCATGAGATCTAATGCATAATTCCATTTGGATCAATTTTTGTTTATCAACATATCACACCTGTGTACTAACGTATTCAGGTTAAAGATGCGCAACAGTAGTTCGAAAGTTGTTTCTCGGGGGGTCCTAATGACCAATAGTGGGATTGTTTGGCGATCAATGAAGCGAGTTTTCAGGACTGACTTTGCAGTCTATAGGTCAATCGATCAGTCACGTGAATCTAGATCGAAGCGAACCTTCCACGGGGTCCTAACATGAAGACCAACTTGTTCAACTGGTGAAGATCGTCCCGCAACTGCATGCAATCTGGTACACCACTGAGGTGGGTAAACGATTTCACAGGACATTGCACACTTTAATTCGATTTGTCTGCTCGGTGAAAATAAGAATTGTTAGACAGTTGAGAACTACTATTTTTTATAAAAAACAGGTTTTGTTTTTAGTCTACATCTTTGTCGGAGATAAAGTTTACGTTTTATTGAATAGATAGGCCTCTGCCTGGAACATCGCCTGATGTTAAGAATGATGAATATCCTCAGTTAGTACAAGGAAATCCAAGCCTTTTTTCAGAATTTATCTTTCTCTTGGA